AAAAAATAAAAAAAAAAAAAAAAAAAAAAAAACTTAGAAACCTGCAAGGAGGAACAGATGAAGCCACTATCATAGCTGGAGACTTCTCTCTCAGGAAGGGACAGATCCAGCAGGCAGAAAATCAGTAAGGACACAGGTGAACTCAACAACACCATCAAGCAACTGGTGATATAACTGACATCCAACAGCAGAATAGACATTCTTCCAAGCTCACATGGAACAGTCACCCAGACAGACCACATCCTGGGCCATAAAACACACCTGAACACATTTAAAAGGACACAAATCATATAATATCTGCTTTAAGACCACAGTGGAACTAAAAATCAATATTGGAAAACCTCAAATTACTTAGACATTCAACAACATACTTATAAAGAATGCACAGGTTAAGAACAAATCTTAAAGAAATTAAAAATATTCTGAACCAAAGAAGAATGAAAATACAACTTATCAAAATTTGTGTAATGTAGTGAAATCAGTGCTTGGCAGGAAACTGACAGCACTGAATACAATATGGAAAAGAAGAAAGGCTTGAAATCAATCATCTAAGCTTCTACCTCAGAAAACTAGAAAAAGAAGAGCAGAATAAATCCTAAGTAAACAAAATAAAATAAATAATAAAAATTATAAATCTAAGAAATAGGAAAAAACCCTGAAAACTGGTTCTTTGAAAAGATTAATAAAATCAGTAAGCCTCTAGCCAGGCTAACTATGAAGAAAAGACAGAAGACAGAAGTTAGAATATCAGAAATGAAAGAGGGGACATCAATACAGATCCCATGGACATTAAAAGGAGAATAAAGGAATACTATGAACACCTCTTCGCCTGCAAATTTGATAACCTAGATGAATGGACCAATTTCTTGAAAGACAAAATCTCCATAACTAGGACAGGAAAAAATAGACAATTTCAACAGGGCTGTATTTATTTTAAAAATTGAATCAACAATTATTAACCTCCAAAAACAAACAGCACCGGGCCCAGCTGAGTTCATTGGTGAATTCTACCGAACATTTAAGGAAGAAATTATACTAATTCTCTACAATCTCTTCCAGAAGATAGAAGCAGAGGGAACACTTCCTACCTTATCCTATTAGGCCAGCATTACCCTAATAACAAAACCAGACAAGAAAAGAAAACTATAAACCAATACCTCTTGTGAATATAGATGTAAAAATCCTCAATAAAATACTGGCAAATTGAATCCAACAACGTATAAAAAAGGACTGTACACCACGACCAAGTAGGATTTATCCGAGGTATGCAAGTCTGGTTCAATATGAAAATTAATTAATGTAATCTACCACATTAAGAAGTTAAAGAAGGAAAGTCACATGATCATATTAATAGATGCAGAAAAAGCATCTGACAAAATTCAACACTCATTTATGAATAAAAACTCAGCAAACTAGGAATAGAGGGGAAACATCCTCAACTTGATAAAGAGCATCTAAAAAAACCCCTTCAGCTAACACCATATTTAATGGTGAGAAACTAAAAGCTTTCCTGCTAAGATCAGGAACAAGGCAAGGATGTCCTCCCTCATCTCTCCGTTTCAACATCATACTAGAAGTCCTAGCTAATGCAGTAAGACAAGAAAAGGGAACAAAAGGTATAATATAGATTGGGAAGGAAGAGACAAAACTGTCTTTGTTTGCAGGTGACATGACTGTCTAGGTAGAAAATCTGAAAGTATCAACAAACAAAAAAATTCCTGGAACCGATAAGTAATTACAGCAATCCTTGTTATAATTGGAGGGTACAAGTTAAATATACAAAAGTCAACTGCTTTCCTATATATGAAAAATGAACAAGTGGAATTTAAAATTAAAAGCACAATACCATTTACATTAGCATCCCCCAAATCAAAATACTTTGGTGCAAGTCTAACAAAATAGGCACAAAATGTATATGGCCAAAACTATAAAACTCTGATGAAACAATTTAAAAAGAACTAAATAAGTGGAGAGATATTCCATGTTCATGGATAGGAAGACTCAATATTGTTAAGGTCAGCTCTTACTAACTTGATCTGTAGATTCAACACAATCCAAATCAAAATCTCAGCAAGCTACATTCTATGGGTATCAACAAACTAATTCCAAAGTTTACACGAAAATGTAAAACAAACAGCCAAACAAAAAAATTCCAGAAAAGCCAACACAATACTGAAGGGAAAGAACAAGGTTGGAGGACCGGCATTACTCAACTTCAAGACCAAATATAAATCTAAAGTAATCAAGACAACATAGTACTGGGGAAAGAACAGACAAATAGGTCTATGGAAGAGAAAACAGAGCCCACAAATAGACCCACATAAATATAGTCAACTGACTTTTGACAAAGGAGCAACGGCAACACAATGAAACAACCATGGTCTTTTCAACAATAATACTAGAACAACTGGATATCCACATGCAAGAAAAAAAAAAATCTAGATACAGACCTTACAACCAAATGGATCACAGACATAAATATGAAACACAAAATGATAAAACTCCTAGAAGACAACATAGGAAAAACATCTAGGTAACCTCGGGTATAGCGATGACTTTTTAGATACATCAAAGGTATAATCTACAAAAGAACTCATATAGCTAAACTTCATTAAATTAAAACTTTCTGCTCTGGGAAGGACACTGTCAAGAGAATAAGAAGGCAAGCCACAGACTGAGGGAAAATATTTGTAATCACACATCTGATAAAGGACTATTATCCAAAATACTCAAAGAACTCTTAAAGGTCAACAATAAGAAAAGGAGCAACCTGATTAAAACGTGGGCAGAGGACCTGAATGGACACTTCCACAGAGTTTTACAGATTAGGGAATTGCAAATTAAAACATCAATAAGCTATCACTTCCAAACTATTAGAGGGGCCACAATAAAAAAAAAAAAAAAAAAAAAAAAAAAAAAAAAATGAGCCATGGCCGCTGAGCCTGAGCGTCCGCAACAGGAGAGGCCACAACAGTGACAGGGCCGCGGGGCACAAAAAAAAAAAAAAAAAAAAAAAAAAAAAAAAAAAAAACTGTGACAACACCAATTGCTGGTGAGGGTGTGCAGCAAAACGAACTCTAATTCATTGCTGGTGGGAGCGCACAATGGCGCAGCCACTTTGGAAGATAGTTTGGCAGTTTCTTATAAACATAAATGTATTCCTACCATATGATCCAGCAGTGGCACTCCTTGTATTTACCCAAATGAATTGAAAACTTATGTCCGTACAAGAAAAGTGCACACAGATGTTTACAGCAGCTTTATTCATAACTGCCAAAACTTGGAAGCAACCAAGATGTCCTCTAGAGGTGAATGGATAAATAAATTGTGATACATCCAGACAACAGAATACAATTCAGCGATAAAAACAAAAGTGCTACCAAGCCGTGAAAAGACATAGATTAACGCTCAATGCATGTTACTAAGTGGAAGAAGCCAGTCTGAAAAGGCTACGTCTGATCTGATTCCAACTATGTGACATTTTGGAAAAGGCAAAAGCCAGGGAGACAGTAAAAGGATTGGTGGTTGCCAGGGATTGAGGGAAAGAAGGGATAAATAGGCAGAGCACAAAGGATTTTTAGGTCAGTGAAACTACTCTGTAAGATACCGCAGTGGTGAATTCATGTCACTGAATATACAACACCATGAGTGAGTCCTAATGTAAACTACGGACGCGGGGCGATGATGATGCATCAGTGTTGGTTCACTGATTATAACAAATGTCCCATCTCGTGGGGGATGTTGATAGTGGCAGAGTCTGTGCACGGGTGTGGGGGGGTGTCTATGGAAACCTCTGTACTTTCTGCTCAATTTTGCTGCGAACCTAAAACTGCTCTAAAAAAATAAAGTCTGTTAAAAAAACAAAAATCTGTGAACCGATACATCCCATCCTGTATTTTTTTAGTTTATTCTACTGATATTTTTTCTTCCAAGAAATTTTTGTCACCTCCCAGTAAACTCATTTCACCACCCACTAAGGGCCTGAAGGAAGACAGCAAAACATTGCTCTAGGGCAGTGTCTCCAGCTGCCCTAGGAAGTGCACTCCTTACCCCACAGTCGATACACTCCAGATGCCACATTCAGCTCGTTCACAGTTAGTGGGCAAGACAGGTCCCCACCACCCACCAGCAGCCCAAGGCTGGCTGCAGTACCTGGAGGGAGGGTCTCCATGCTCTGTGCTTTCTCATCCCCGTTGCTGTGATGAAGGTCTTTCTTTTTAATTGGGTCAATGTCATTCCAGTCCTCCTGGGGGAGCAAAGACACCAAATGAGTCGACAGGTTCCTGAAGCCCACCTTCGTTCATCAGGTCAATAAACAATGAGTCCTCCCATCCGGAGGAGTGCACCCCAGACCTGCTCAGTGGTGGAGACCCAAGGACAGAAGTGACCCTGTCCAAGTTCTTGGCGTGAACTTTCCAAGGAAGGACCTGTGTTTCTCTCTCCATTGTCTATGTGTATCACTTATCTATGGAAAGAAATACTCTAGAAACTCCCTGGGCTTTGAGGATCTGGGAGGGTAGGGAAGGGAGATAGGGAAACTGGATTAAATAAGAGAATTCAATAGTGGTTAAATCAAAGCCATTAAAATAAGGGTAGCTCTCCAGATGCCTTCTATGGCTTAAGGGCATCTTAGGACCAGAGTCTCCCTCAGGGCCACTGAGCCCTGCTCAGAGGTTGTTAAATGATTCCTTTCATCCCACTGAATAACAGCGATGAAGGGCAAAGGATGGCGGAGCTTTTCCTCCGCTCCTCTAGAAGGGCTGCCAGCGGAAAAGAGCTGCAAACTAAGGGCTTAATGTAAAACCAGAAGAAGAGAGACGCTCTGGAAGAATTTATTCAACTCATCTGCACGAACCATTTAATCTATCAACATTAATCAAACAACCCCATGACCACAGAGCTAAATATATTTTTCAACCACTTGGGATCTGATTTCTGTGAATACAGTAAGAAAGGTTTCTGTATATAACCCAAATAAGAAATACCCCACGGCTAGTAATTTCCCCACACAGACTTTGGTGGGCCAAGCCCTGTCAACTGGCCATTTCCCCAGCAGATGCTATTAGGATGTTGGCGGCCTTAGGTCCCCTCCCTCAGGGGAGACCCAACCAGTTCTGCTCAGGTTTGTTCCACTAACATTCCTCCAACCAGCATGGGCTGCGTGACTGCTGGGGGCATTTTGGCTCATAACATCGTGAAGTGAGATCTGCAGGAAGTGTTAATTCTCAGGGGCTACGCCAAATCAGACATCTTTTTCCCAAAGGCAACTTGCTCTACCAATAATCTGCATTTTTACTCAAAAAGTAGGGTAATTAAAGAGAAACGGCCTAAGTCTCCTGCTCTGGAGGCCAGCTTTTCCCTCAGTTGCTTCTGAGGTGAAGTGAAGCTTCAAGGCCACCATGGGGATGATGGGCGGGGGCACCGGGAGGATGACTCCCTGTAGAGACAGTGCGCAGGTCAGGAATGCCCTGCACCTGGGTGGTCCTAGCCCACCCTGGCAACCTGTCACAAGGCCTTCTCAGGCGTTCAAGGGGCCCAGGTGCTCTGACTTTTGAAGATCCTAGCCCACATTGTAACAAATGTATTGAAATGCATCTGTATCCCAATTTAAATACTTTTTGCTGCGAAAAAAATGTTTTGAATTGTAATTTGGCTTTTGAGATGACTTGGTTATAAATAAACTTTCAATTTACTATTGGCAAGGATTTCCAGGCAATCTTGGCACCTGCAATGGAGTGAGAGAATCTGACCTACACTCTGCCTTCACGACATAAAGAAACGTGCGAACACTAAATCCAGCAAGTAATGAAGTTAGCAGAGTCGCACTGGGTAGACCTCTAATTAAGCTGATTAATTTTTATTTTGCAGCTTGCTTGTAACATTTTGTGGCTAACAACTGTTTCCCTCAGGCATCTGGTCTACTACACACACTGGCTAATGGATCACACCATTTAACCTTGTACTGGAATACAATCGAAAGTGAATGAAAAAGAAAAAGGGGGGAACATTGCTGGTGTGGCCGCCGCACAGTAATACTCACCAAATCAACATCTGTAAGTCAATCATCAATGTTTTCTTAGAAAATAAATGTCTCCTTCCCACAAACAAGACTGACTTGGTCCATATGTAACACTCCCTAACCTGTCTCCCCCCCACCGCCACTCCCCGGGACAATGAACTGAGCCCACCATAGAACTAAGGCCAAGGATGAGGACCTGCTATATAGTGAGGGCACCGCAAGGTCCCAGTAGGTGACATGATGCTACGTGCTATTTATGAATGCCTACTATGCACCAGGCACTGTACAAAGATACTTTTTCATCCTGGCAACAAGCCTGCCATTTTATAATTCCTATCTTACAATGGGGGCACAGAAGATCAGAGAGGTTACGCAAATTGTCCAGGTTACACAGTGGGCGAGCAGCTCGGGTTGGCCCTTGATAAATCAGGATGGGAATGGCAGCCCAGGGCTCAGTTTGAACCAAGTTACAAGAGCGTGATTCTCACAATGTCATAAAAATCCAAGAATACGTTTCTAGGGAGTCATCCACAAAGCACTGTTTTGTTCTGGACTCCAAGTCAAAAAGTGCAAATCACCATGTTCACTGCCAATTCCCAGAGTAGGAGCAGGAGGAGGAGGGTGAGAGGAGAGGAGGGGAGGGGGA